CTGGTGAACAAACTTCTGAAGATGTTTCAATTAATTCTGTAATTTGATTGTTAGTTGGAGTTTCTTGATTGATATATGAGTTTTCTTGACTAAAGGGAACTTCCGAAGAGATAGAAACTAAAGATTTAGTTCTCTTTCTTAATTCCTTAGCTTCTCTTAAGAGTCTTCTTGTCTCAATTGAGGCTTTAAGCTCTTCACAGTCTCTTTTAATATGGCTTTCTTTGTTACAGTAAAAGCAGATCTTAGGTGCTTCCTTCCATTTTGTGAAAATTCTTCGTAAAGCCAACTCTGGATCATCTGTAATTTCAAAGGTGACCAACCATTGATCAGTACAGATTGAGGCACCTTCAAAAAGAAGAGGTTTAATCGAAGCTATTTGTTCAACATCACGGAAAGCTTGTAAGATACTTTCACTAATGTGATTAGTATCCTCCATAGGGGTGTTTTTAAGCTTAATTGTGAGAAAAGACTGATTGAGGTTGATAGGAATATAGCCGAAGAAGGTCAGCTTAAACAGCGAAATTCTCTCAGCTGCATAGTATTGAACCTTTTTCTTGTTCTTTAATATAATTTCCAGGAAAGCTCTCTTTCCTCTAGACATATGTGTTTTTGTCGCAATTAAATTTTCCTTTAAAGAGACAGCTAAGGCTGCAATGATATCATTTGTAGCGATATTGCTTAGGTTTTGTATATCGAAAATTAGGGTATTTTCATTTTTGGAATAAATTTGTTGTCTAGGAGTGGGTCTAGTGTATGCTGCTTTTCCTCCTTTAAGCTTAGCAAAGAGATTTGACCATTGTTTCAGCCCTAAGTCTGTATTGTTGGTTTTTCTAGAATTGCCTGGTTTGAGGGTATCTGCATCTTTGTGAGTTGAAGACTCTAATTGGACATTGCTTAACACATATAGTTTGTTCTGTTTGTTGTTTGCTTCTGACATGTCGTTCATGTGTTCTTGTTTGTTGTTTACTTCTGACACGTCGTTCACGTGTTCTTGTTTGTTGTTTACCACATTTGTTGTATTTACGTGATTTGTTGTGCTTGAAGAAGCAGCATGTGCTTCTTGTTGATTACAAAAATTTTCGACTTTGCTTTTTTCTGAGCTTACTTGTTCTTCTTCAACTTGATTAGCCCAGCTTGTATTAAGCTTATTGGAGTTCATATCCAAGGACATATTTGTTTCTAACTTAAGGCTGCTGTCATTATCACTATTGTTGTTGTTTAGTTCTGCAATATTTTCTTTATTTTCTTCAACTTTTGTAAAGTCGAAAATTTTGTCATTATTTGAAGAAAGCTTGGTCTTCTTGTTGTTTAGTTGCTTGCCCATGTCTAAAGTAATAAGTTCGTGCTTTCTGGACCTTAAGGTCCTTGTCTTGTTAGGAGAGTCAAAGATAAAAAATGAGTTACTTTGTAAAATTTTGATTTCAAGTATATTTCTGGAAGTGAACCGGAAAGAGTTTATTTTACCCTAATTTTGTACCCTAACTCTAATGAAATTCGGTATTTATTTTTGATCTGACACAATTTTTAATCTGACATATAACAAATATAAGACAATAAATGAAGTAAACATAAGATAAATCAGTAGACATGGCATAATGATGTAATGATAATTAAAAGTATATGGAAAGTAAAATGAGTATATATAAGTTAAATAAAGGATATTACATGTGTAATGATAAATAAGTGTAAATGTAATAGAATGGATATGAAGATAAGTGGATATTATATATGTTATGATAAATAAAAGATGAAAAAAAGAAAAATTCTTAGTTCTTCGTTTGCTAGAAGTAAAAAATAAAGAATAAACATTTATACATACCTAATATTACAGCCAAAAAACCTATATCATTCACACATTACAAATAGAAAACACATAAAACAACTAAAATGGCATTTCGTGCAAGGAAATTTCACAATCATAATAAACCATTATCTAATAACCAAAGTTTTCACTCTGTTCATAATGGAATCCCCTAATTATAATATATTATCTGAATCTTTGCTTAATTCAGGATTCCTTCATTATATTTCATCTGATCCTTATAACTTTAAGATAACGACTATAACACTCTAATGAACGATGTAGATGCTGATGATGAATCATTTGAATATTATAGCGTTTGTGACAATAATATGGTTAATGAAGCTCTAACAGAGGTGAATAATGAAACTCTAACAGAAGAGAATAACAAGGCTCAACCAGAAATTCATAGTGATAATAGTCAGCAAAGTGATGATGAATTAGATGATAGTGAATGTGAAGAGCAAATAAAACTATTAGTATTGAATCAAGAGTTGAAATTTGAAACATAGAAAATTGCCAAGGCATATCTTGATGATTATGCTAAGCAGCAAGGTTTCTGTTTGCATAAAAGAAGGTGCATACAAGATCCAGTCGATAATACTATTATAAGGCATCAGACATATGAATGCTCATATTCTCTTATATGAAAATCTCAAAAGGTCATTTTAGAAGAGGACAGAAAAGAAAGAGATTCAAAAATGATAGAGTGCTTGTGGTACATCAATCTCTCTTTTCTCAAAACTGCTAAGGGTGTTCAGGTTAATAGTATAGCCAGACATCATAATCATATAATGAACCTTCACATTGTTAAAATAGCACCAAAATTTTGCGAAAAAATTAAATTCCAAATGATCTATAGTAAAATGGGTATTAAAACCCAATATGATTTATTAGTTGCCTCATTCCTACATAAAGTTACCAACAAAAAAGACTTAAGTAATGCAATACAAAGGTTCAAAAAACAAACACAACCAACGAAAAATGATGTGTGCCAGATGCTTACCGAATTGTATTCAAAAAAAGATGATGACTCGAGATGGATTGTAAAACCTAGGTTTGATCCAAAAGAAAGAAGTTAAATTCATTGTTCTGGATGTCTTCTGATCAAATCGATGCATACGGAAGATACCATGATGTTGTACTCATTGATACAATGTCAAAAACAAATCAATTTGATATGGTCTTACTGCTAATTATAGTGGTTGATAATAATTTTCAGAATTTTATTGTAGCTGCGGCAATGGTTGATCTTTAGTATAGGTGGGCATATATAATTATTATATAATTATAATATATATAACTTAATTATTTTAAACTAATTTAAGTAATTTTATAAATTATTAGGGTTAGGGTTAAGGTTAGGGTTTAAATTGGCTTAAATTAGTTAGGTTTTATATATTATAATCTTGTAATAATTTATTATGCCTACCTATACTAAAGGAGATCTGTGGCAATCCTAGAAGATGAAACTGAAGCAACATTTGAGTGGGTTCTTCAAGAATTAAAAAATTCTTGTGATATTACACCTATAGTTCTCTACTCTGATGCTAATCCAGCCATGTTATCAGCAGTATATAAGAATTATCTGGAAATAAACCACCTATACTATATATTTCATATAGACCTAAACATAAAAAAAAAACTTAGAAAAAAAGTTAAAAGACCAATTTCAAACTTTCCATTCTAAATTTTTGATGATGCGGAATTCTTTATGTTAAAGAAAGTTCGAAGTCAAATGGAATTCACTAATAAATGAATATCCAGCTTGTAAAAACTATCTTACAAGAGTTTAATATCTCTGTAGAAGTAGTTGGGCCAGCTATACAGTTAACCAAAACTTTACTGCTGGAATTCAAAGTACTCAACAAGTGGAAGTGTGTAACAAATTTATCAAAGAAAGATTAAATAGAGTCTTGCGTCTTACCAATGTTGTTGATGAAGTTCAACAGTTGTTCAATGAACAATTAAAAAAAGTGATCCTAAATGAGTATAAAAATAAAATCCCGACAAGAAGGATGCCAAGTATAATGGATGAATATTTTCCTAACTTGACAAAACCTTGCAGAATTTCTTACACCACAAATTCTTCAAAAACATTGTGATCAAATGGCTCAATCATTGTGTTATGATGTTTATTTAATTGTTGACTGGCAACCACTCTTGGAAGTAAGTTTCAGTTGTTAGTTAAAATTATATCAAAAAAAAATAATAACCTTTCCTTTGATTTAGGTAACAGATGATTCCTATTAGCAGGAAATAGCCAGAGAGGATGATTATGATCAACTGCAATCCTTGTTCTCATCATTGCTAAAAGACATTCCTTATAATTCAGTTAAAGAAGTGTGGAAGGTAGTCAGGCATCGCGGTCAGAAATCAGAGCCACAGCATGTAATTCTCCTTAATGATAGGTCGCATCTTTGTACTTGCCTTTCACTTATTAATAAAGGAATCATGTGCAGACATTTTTTTCGAGTTATGTCTTATTCATTCAATGCATTGTTCAATATAATATTAATTCCTCAATGCTGGTACAAAAAATGCAAGTACTTTGGTCAACAGGAACTATCAACATACCAAATTGCAAAGAATAAATAAACGCCATTCCCGCCTAAATCACTTTCTTTTCAACAATTTGGTTTAGAAAGACATCCAACACTGAACAACCATAAGGACCTAAACAGAAATATGGCTTTGGTATGGGCCATGCCAAAAAAGCACTTGATTTGGAAATTAAGGCTGACAAAGTAGAGGAATTTGTTAGTTACATAGAAAGATTTGTTGAAAAACTAAGGAAGAATTATTCAACAAACAAATTCATAATTCTATACCAGTCAATGATCTATTACGTGTTATGCATAAAGGTAGACAACCAAACAGGTATAAATTCAGTAGAGAGCTTGTGAAAAACAAAGTGCAAGGTAAGTCTTTAGGTAAAATAATGCTTTGAATAATGTTTTAACGTGAAAAACACGATGAAAATTCCAACATCATGTGATAATCAAAACTTTGTAGAGACATGACATATTGATCACAGCAGAGACAAAACATGTCAGTATAGAAACACAGCATAATAACCAAGTCAGTGCAGAAGAGAAACATGACAGTCAAGGTAAAGATCTAAATGTAGAAGTGCAAGTTACTGATTAAGACACCATTGCTTTAAATTCAGAAAAAACCGTAAGAAGGTATAAAAAGTACAAGCAGACCAGCCATTATGCTCACAGTGTCTGAATGTTTAATGACCTGTGTATAATAAAAGATTGCTTAGTCTATTGTTAAATCGTGTATAATGAAGAATTGCTTAGTCTATTGTTAAATTAAAATCTAACACCTGCATGTATAAGCGATAATTAACAATTAATAAGATGTAGATTATGTACGTACGTATCAAATATGTAGATCACCATTTAGGTAATGTTACCATGGGTTAAAAATAGTTATAATCATAATAAATTACATATAATTCTAAATTTTTTAAAAACTTTTAAAAAATTTTAAAAGCTAAATAAACAGTAATTTCTATTATTTTTAATAATTTTATGAATATTTTTTAAAAAATCTAAAAATTTTAGAATATGTGTATTTTTTTATACTAAACAAATTTTACTTAATAATTAAGCTTAGTTTACTTAATAAAAAATTAAGTTTAATATGTACTAAAATTAAAATTGATATTTATACTAAATCCTTATTAAAAACTAGGTTTTATTACCAATGAAAAAATTTTTTAAACTTAATTATTTCAAAAAGTACTATATAGAATTTTATATTTTTTTTATTTAAAAGATTCAGATTTGAATAAAATTTTATATAATTTTTAGCTCTATATCTTGTTTATTTAGTTTAATATAAATTTTCAAAAAGTGACCACAATAATATGGTACCCCCTGTACTTTATTTAAAAATTTCCTGATGCCTGATCACAGGATATATATAAATAGTGATTATAATTTTTTTAATTTTGATTTGTTGTTTTTGGTACTGTTCTGGCCCATACTAACATTATTTTTCTTTCTTTCAGATAATAGCATATAATTCGCATTGGCATCTTTGTTTCTTATATCATCCTGTTATTACATATCTCACTGCTGAAAGTTTGTTGTTGTTATTAGCACATTGCATCATTGTTCATAGCATCATCGTCTTGGTGTTTTTATTATATATCTTGCTGTTGAAATTTTGTTGTTGCCTAGAGTTATCATTATTAACATAGTAACCTTAGCCAGCCATTATTGGAATGTGGGTTGTTGTTACCAAAATTGTCATTCTTGGTGATAGTCCTAGTATCTTGCTTCTAGAATTCATCATTGCTTTTAGTGTATAATAGTTTAGTAGTTATAGTTAGAATTAAGGTAGAGCTAAAAAATAATTAGTTGTTAAAATGGTATAGGTGAACAAGATAGTTAAATTTGGCATGTTGAACTAGTTCTTAAGAAAAGTATATTTTATTTTTTTTTTTGGGTTTAAGGTAACCTCTTGGTCGCTGTCCTTTTATTTGATTATTGTTAACTTTTACAGTATGGTATACACCATACTATACACATATTTGGAAAGTACAACTAGCCACATGTGCAACTTTTGGTTGCCTATTTAAATAGTTCCTTATTACTAAGTTCTATACTAGCTGCCATACCTATAACCCTATCAAGTTACCCATTTAAACCCTCTGCACCTATGCACATTAATCTTCTAACTGAGTAAAGGTATATTAGTACCTCTTATTTTCAGATCCCCGACTTAGGACTTTAAGACAGACCCACTTATAGAGGTCTTTTGTCTTTGAGGTAAACCTGCTAGAGCTTTCTGTACCACAATCCGGCCAACCTAGACTTCAGTAACTTATACTGAGTCCGAGAACAAGTACTTGTGAGCTGAAGCTACTACCATTACCTACTTCTGCCCTTGTAGAGTTCACCCAAACCTCAGCACACAATTTATGGACTAGCACTGACTTTCCTTTACCAACAGTGCCTAAACTCCAAATCCAGATAGCCCGGAGAGAGACTAGTGGGCATCCCCTTGGTATTCTGATTGAATCTTTTTTCCTCATCTATACGGGGCCACCCCCATATATATGCGGCCTAGTCGGTATTAGTATCTTGCCAAACACCTGGTCCTCATCCAGTTTACTGCCAATGTTCGATTACTAATGATCATCCTTTACGTAATACCATCAAAGATTTGTGCTACCTCTCTACTCGGGACTTGCCAAGTGGGATTCCATGTGCCCCAGCCCTTGGATTTACACAAATGTTTTACTTGGGTTTTGTGTAACTCTTGCATCACACTATAGTTCTACGTTCTTCCAGTACAAGATGGTACAATCAAAGCTACAGATCTGATGATCCATCAAATTATACACAGAATTTTTACTAGTGACATATTAAAAAAAAACTCTTACCAGTAACAACGCCAGGACGTAGGATTGATTTTCCGGTTACATATTTTTCAAGCTAAAATTAGCCAATGAGAAGTCAAGATCAGGTGTAATGTAAAAAAAAAATCAAAACAAACGATCTTTTTGAAGAAATCGTAAATATCTCAGAATTTAACCTAATTAACCACCTTCTGTGCTCTAAGTAAAATTTTTCTTGCGTGATTTTACGATTAGAACAGCCTTTGTAACTCTAAAATGAACTTCTATCAAACCAAAACCTTAACGTAAACAAAAATTCTAAGTTTTCCGAAGCTATCACGTGACCAGAAAATCGATCCTACACCCTGTCAATTTCCTTTCCAGTTCATCTCCGAAAAACATACTCAAATCAAAATTTTATTACAAAACTCATTTTTATCTTTGATACCTCTAATGAAACAAGGACCTTAGTGTTCAGAAAGCACGAACTTATTATTTTAGACATGGGTAAACAACCAAACAATAAGAAGGCCAGGCTTTCTTCAGATAACAGCAAAATTTTCAACTTTGCAAAAGTTAAAGAAAACAAAGAAAACACTATGGATCTAAACAACAACAATGACAACAATAACAACAGCAGCCTCAAGACGGAAGTGAATATGTTAACAAATATAAACCTGAACAAGCTTGATAATAACTGGGCCAGTTAAGTTGAAAAAGAACAAACAACTGTAGAAAACAACAAGAACGAAATTTCTTGTAACCAACAAGAAACATGTGTAGTTAATCCTTTAAGAATAACAGACCATGTAAACAAGATAAACAACATAAACAATAAACAAAAAGAATACATGTCTTCAAATGACCAATCAGCTTCCACAGATCCAACTACTTCGGCTAGATCATCTTTGTCTAACTCAACAGCTGAACATGGGACCAGACAAAATGAAGAAACAAAACCTAAACAGTGGTCAGATCTTTTTGCTAAACTTAGAGGAGGAAAGGCAGTTTATACTAACTCAACTCCTAGACACAAAATTCACTCTAAAAATAAGAACGCACTTATTGTTAACATCCAAAATCTTAACAACATACAACTAACAACATTATCGCAGCGCTCACAATGAATCTCAAAGGTGATCTTATAGCAGCCAAAACTCATATCTCAAGAGGAAAAAGAACTTTCCTGGAAATTATTCTCAAAATGAGGAGAGAGTTCAGTTTTATGCTGCTGAAGGAATCCCTCTGTTCAAGCAAACACTTTTTAGATACATCCCAGTTAATCTCAACCGATCATTTCTTACAATTAAATTAAAGAATACCCTAATGGGTGATACCGAATATATTAGTAGACACATTCTTAAAGCCTTTCAAGATGTTGGTCAAATAGCATCTATTAAACCCCTCTTCTACGAAGGTACTACAGTCTGTTCAGACCAATGGCTAATTACCTTCGAAACTACAGAAGACCCTGAACTAACCACAAGAATTCCTAGAAACACACATATTGGCAATCATAAGGTAACCACAGAATGGAAATAAGCTCCAAAACTCTGCTTCTTTTGTGAAAAAGAGGTGCATATTAAAAAGGACTACAAGGAGCTCAAAGCCTCTATGGAAGCTAGACAACGTTTTAGAGAAGCTAGAGTATAGATGAAGAAAGATAAAATGCAAAAATATAATACCCAGGAGATTGGCTTCGACTCAAACAATCATATAGAAGTGATATAGAAGAAGTCATGCAAGAAGAAGTTATACAAGAAGAAAATGAGCCTACTACTCCAACTGAAACTTTAGAGGAGGTTTCAAATACAAGTGAAAAGACAACAAGCAGCATGGAAGTAGATAATTCAACTACCACAAACATGAAAACCAGCGAGATGGTTTCAGATCCATATAACAATAAAGAGGAATCAAACTCCAACTCAATAGAGAAAAATGAGATTCTCTTCACAACGGTAGTATCTAAGAAACAAAAAGGCAAAACTGCTAAGAAAAATAGTCAACACAGAATTGGACAACCATATGGAATTCCAGGAAACTCTAAACAAAATTTCCTGGATTCTAGAAACCGACACTAGAATTTTATCTTCTAGTGTTAATAATTAAGATCGCTATACTCAATGTTAAGGGTCTAAATAATAGATCCAAAGCTCAAAAAACTTTTACTCTTTTAAAATCATATAAGATAGACATAATTATGCTACAAGAAACTAATCTAAAAGACTCAAGCACAAGACATTTCTTATTACAAATTTGGGGTTTCGACTCTATTTGGACATCTAAAACTGCTATATTAACAGGCAAGAAAACCATTAAACTTATGGACAAAAAAAAATCAAATAATGGAAGAGTCATCTCAATCAAGACTGAAATCAAGCAACAACCATTTATATTTACAAACGTATATGCTCCTCCTAATCCTGAAGACAGGATTAATTTCTTTAAAAATTGAATTCCTAATACGATTAATGGAAATATTTGCATTATTGCCAGGATTTTAATACCAATTTAAACCCAGAAACAAACAGAATTAGCCAAGCAGCTGCATATCAGGATCGTTCTAGAAGCCTTTTAGAAACCTTCTAGAGGAATACATTGATTTGGCACATTTTTCAAAAGAAAATCATTTTTTAACATATCATCAAACTACACAGGGTAATCAAAGAATGGCAACTCATCTGGACTATATATTTATTGAAGCAAGCTTTAGCAGCTTATACACAAATACCGTACACGTTTTGGAAACTCAGACCATCTCTTGGTTGAAAGTGAACTCAATCTCAAGCCT